CCCCCCCCCCGTAGCTACGCCCCTGCTCACACTGTGTCTCTCTTCTTCCGCTGCTGCAGGTTCTGACGTGACGTTTGTACTGGATTACGGAGACGGCTCCACTCAGACTCTCCTCGGACTCTTCCACCCCGCCTTCGGACACCAGTTCGCCGAGGGCCGCCACCGCTACACGCGCGAGGGCGCCTACGTCGTCACGGCGACGGCGCAAAACATCCTCGGCGAGGTCCTCGCGCCGGCCGTCGAGTTCCACGCCCAGGTGGCGCCGACGGACCTGCGTCTGAACGACACGAAGTTCTTCACGCGGCTCGGCGACGCGACGCGATTCGCCGCCGTCACGTCCGCCGGCACGAACCTGACGTTTGATTGGTCGTTCGGCGACGAGAGCGACGTGATTGGCCGGCGCGCGTGGCACGTCTCGCACCGCTACCTGGTGGCGGGCGACTACAGCGTGCGCGTGCGCGCCTACAACTTGGTCGGCGAGGAGATAGTGAGCGCACTGGTGTATGTGGAGAGCCCTGTGCAAGGTAGGTAGACGCGCCCTTGGGTGTGTGCGTGCGTGCGTGCGTGCGTGCGTGCGTGCGTGCGTGCGTGCGTGTGGATGTGTGTGTGTGCGCGTGCGCGCGCGCGCGTGCGTGTGTGGGTGGGTGTGTGTGTTTAATATATCGCATGTGTTTTGTGTTGGGTGTTAGGTATTATGTGTTTAGTACAGTGTGGAGCTATTATGTGTTATATGTTATGTATTATGTCTTATATGTTATGTATTATGTGTTATATGTTATGTATATGATGTTATATGTTATGTATATGATGTTATATGTTATGTATTAAGTGTTATATGTTATGTATTAGGTGTTATATGTTATGTGTATATGATTGATGTTACATGTATATGTAGGTGTGGAGCTATTAAGTGTTATATGTTATGTATATGATTGATGTTACATGTGTTTAGGTGTGGAGCTGCGTGTGGGACAGATGCTTTATGCGACGCAGCAGAAGATAGAGCTGACGGCAGTGAGTGAGACGGACGCGCCACGCTGGTACGCGTGGCACATGGGCGACGCCCGCCGCGACAACGTCAACACCGTGTCACCAACCCGTCACTACGCATACGACCTGCCGGGAAGGTGCGTTGTCACGACGACCTGTGTGTGTGTGTGTGTGCGCGCACGCGCGTGTGTGTGTGTGTATGTGTGCGTGCGTGCGTGCGTGCATGTATTTGTGTGTGTGTGTGTGTGCGTGCGTGCGTGTGTGTGTGTGTGTCTGTGTGTGTGTGTGTGCGTGCTTGCATGCACGTGTGTGTGTGTGTCTGTGTGTGTGTGCGTGCTTGCATGCGTGTATGTGTGTGTGCTGAGTATGCATATGACCTGGCTGTAGGTGCGTTATGTTCTCCATGGGTTTGTGTGTATTAATGATGTGGGTTTATGCGTATAATAATGTGGGTTTATGCATAATAACAGATAATAACATAATAACAGACAGATTTCAGTGACAACTGGTCAGATAGACTATCTATATTAAGCATATATATTATATATATTATATATTATATTGACATGCTATATTATCCGATATGTGACGCCTTCTTCTAGGTGAGTGTACGTGTACAGGTGTACACGTCATACAGGTGAGACATGCTATGTCAACCGCTATGCGACACTTGATTGCAGGTATGTCGTACAGGTGTGACATTCTTGATTGCAGGTACGTTGTACAGGTGTGACATTCTTGATTGCAGGTATGTCGTACAGGTGTGACATTCTTGATTGCAGGTACGTTGTACAGGTGCTGGCCGTCAACCACATCAGCAACGCCAGCTCTCAGCCCGTCGAGCTCGTCCTGCAGACAGCCGTCAGCGAGCTGTCGATCGTGCACGCCGGCTCGGCGCTGCGTGGCAACGCGACGACGCTGCGAGTACGCTTCACGGGAAGCGACCTGACCCTCGAGTGGAACTTTGGTGACGGACACGCGGCGACGGTGACGCAGCAGAACACCTCGGTCAATCACACGTTCGACAGGTAAGGAAGAACAGAACACCTCTGTCAGTCACATGTTCGATAGGTAAGGAAGAAGAGAACAGCCCTGCAAGTCACATGTTCGACAGGTAAGGAAGAACAGAACACCTCAGTCAATCACAGTCGTTTGACAGGTAAGGAAGAACAGAACACCCCTGCAAGTCATATGTTCAGTAGGTAATGAAGAATAGAACACCCCTGCAAGTCATATGTTTAGTAGGTAAGGAA